GATTATAATTCAAATTTTAATACTATATATTACTCAATTTCTTAGTTTAAAAGCAAATATTAAAAAAACACAGATAAACATTGATTTTTGCATGTCATGTGCTATGTTGAATGTAGCACTTGTTCAAATTAGATGTTTGTAAAGTCAAAATACTAAGTCTGTAGTTTCAAATGAATTAGAAACTCAAATTACCAGTATTGAAAAGCTAGAGTATAAAATAAGAGCCTCTTATCTTTTCAATTTGCTAAGATATTGCTCACGTAATAAATCAAACACAGTGGCACCCTGCCCACCTCTTTCCATTTTTGAAAATGCTCCCTTATATACACTTACTTCTATATATGACATGAATAACCAATTGGAAGTTCAGAATGTCCTCCTAGTGGCTGTCTCAGCCATTTTAACGGACTTGGTGTCATTTATTTTTTTTTGTGCCAATATTTCAATGAGGTAGAGTGTGTCTTTAGTCAGCTCTAAATTTCATATTTTTTTTACTAAAATACATCTTTGTTACTAAGCTTGATAAATTATAGTGGAATTCTATGGTATTAATGTAGTAATTTATGGTTTTTTAGTTATTCTAATGTATATCAGTCAAATCTTCCAAATCTCTACAGAGATTCATTACTGAAAATGACAGATAAAATATAAAGTTTTTTCTTAAGAAATATTTGATAACTATCTTGACATTATAAAGATTTCACATGTGAAATTTCAAAATTTTGTGATGCATAAAAGTGTTTTAAATCCTAAAATGAATATTACTTTGCATGATAGATAGGCAACATGTGAAAAGAAAAAATAGGCATGAGAAAAGCATTGCATTATAAACCTTAATACATAATAAAAAAATTTTATATTTTACGTATGAAAGCATTGTAATGTTTACTGATAATCTGCCAAATTTTGTTAACATTCGCTTACTAATTTAAAAGTTATAGCATGAAAACTATAACAAGCACAAAGTGGTTTTGATGTTGGTCCCATGGACTGAGCCTGTGCTGAAAGAGTTAAGTGTGCCTGACATTGAGGCAAGTTGATTCAATGTATGATTGGTAAATACAACCATTGTCAGGTGATAGGTAATTTCTGTTTGGCCCATGCATCTCTTTGGTATTCTCCCCAATGTGAATTCCTTCGATTTTCTTCTCGTGTAGTGGAAGAACCTTGCTTCTCCAGTACCAAGCTGATGTGGAGGTCAATATAGAGAGTTCCCCTTTGGGTCAATGTAATCTCACTGGTACGAGACTGAGTTGACACTTCCTTTGATTGGAAGTGGGGTAGATGTGTTTATCTGGAAGTATAGTACATATCACCCCTTACACTAAGAATTAGACCATTTTTGGTGGCTGTAACGAGCTGCATGGGTCTTGCAATCTCCTTGGGATGAAGGTATAGGAGAATCATATCTGGACCTGTTTATTCTATGGGTATTTCACTTAAGTATTTCTCAAGTGCTGTATGGCTTGAATGGGTAGTGAAAGAAAATTTATTACAAATGTACAACGTTTTGATGAGTTTATGTCATCATCAGGTACAAGTAGTTTACATAGACACAGGAATATATATATATATATTGGTGTACTTTGGTGACAGATTTTCTTGTAGGCAGATTTTGTTAAACAAGACCGATGGCTGTAGGTTTACTTTCTTCTTAGAATTCTTCTCAAGAAGTCGATAAGCCGTCTTAACGTTGTTAGAACAACGGATAAAAGTTGTAGCTAGTGATGAGAATTCGTACAGAATTCGTACACTCCGACAAACATTCATCAATAATGGATATAGTAATACCACATTCGACAAGACACTTCAACGGTACCTGGACAGCCGCCAAAAAACACCACCTCCGACAACTTCACTGAACAACTCAAAGTCTACTATAAAAAAACAATTCTCCACTGCATACAAGACAGACGAACGAATTCTAAAGGGTATCGTTTACAAAAAATACTACACCAAAGAAACAGAACACAAAACTGCAACTCAACATCTACTACAAGTCTACCACAACGTC